CATTTATATAGTGCTTTAAGGTCTGCAGAGCACATTACATCTTGTTTTATCCTCATGACAATCCTGGGGAAGAGGAAGTAGGTGCTATTGTTATCCCCATTTTACAGATGAGGAAACTGAGGTAGACTTAAGAGACATAAGCCTCTTAATATCTGTGCCTCAGTTTCTTCATCTATAAAATAAAAGAGGTTGCATTCAGTGGTCTCTCTTCCAGTTCTAAATCTATGAACCTAGATTCTAATGGCCTTGTCTGCCCTATCTCAAATCTTGGGGCCTAGAGCCAAGATAAACTTCCAGCCATGGATAGCAATGTTGTTGTTGAATCTTTTCAGTTGTGTCTGACTCTTCGTGAACCCATTTGGGTTTTCTTGGCAAAGACACTGGAGTGGTAAGCCATTTCCTTCTCCAGCTCATTTTATAGATGAGAAAACTGAGGTAAACAGGGTTAAGTGACTTGCCCAGGTGTCGCACAGCTAGTAAGTGTCTGAGGTCAGATTTGAACTCAGGTTTACCTGACTCTAGGACTAGCACTCTCTCCACTAGTGGCCCCTGGATAGAAATAGATCTGTCTAAAAAATGGAATGAATGCCTCACGAAGTAGCAAACTCCCCATCACAGGAAAGGGTAGAGATTACATGTCCTCTGGAAGGAATCTTGTTGAGAAAGTTCCTATGTTTGGAGAGTTGCTGGATTTGATAGTCTCTAAAATCATGGCCAACTCTAAGGTCCTTTGATTCTGGGAGTGGTATATAATTAATGTGTGTCATGAAGATGGTAGAGTTCTTCCTGCTTAGCCAAGATTTTAAAATCTAGAAATTTGTATGTATATGTATTCTAATATGTGGTCAGAGAGGTCATCTACATTGTAAGGTTCATGAAGGCAGGGACTGTTTCATTTTTGCCTTTGCATCCCCAACATGTAACATAGTACCTGGCACATAGTAGGTGATTAATAGATGCTTGTTAATTGATTGACTGGATGATTGCATGTTCTGGAACCCCAATTCCATTACCATATGGACTGTGGTATCCAAAGGTGGTCAAAAATTAAAAATATCTACCAGGATCAAATTTTGATGTTTTATTTTTTGTAGGGTGTTGTTGTTTTTCTCTAAAGATCTTCTGGAGGTGCTTAATGGAAATCTTGGGGTTCTGTGGCACATGATTTGTAAATCACTGGCTGAAATCACCTTTTTTGTTATACTATGACATAACTTAAGTATAGACATGACAGTAGTAACAGTAACAATCATAGAGCAATAGCACTTAATTAGCAGATAATTACTTTCTGTGTTTTTCTTTACCATGCCTTGCACATGGGCAGCCTTTGATAAATTCTTGTTGGGGGAAGGAGTTTGGGCATTAAAAGAATCACAGGACAATGCTTCTGATCTTGGCTCTGCCACATCCTACCTATGTTGCCCCAGGCAAGTCACTAAACTTCTTTGGGTCTCAGTTTCCTCATCTATAAAAAGGAGATGGGACTAGATCACTTCTAAGGCCAGTTCTATGGTGTTATGTAAGTGAATTTACCCATGCATGGAAAATAGTTGAAACTCCAAGAATTTGAAGTAGAAAGAGTGATATATTCAACATAATGGTCAAATCACAATGTTGTATGCCTGATTAGAGCTCAGTTCTTGATTAATTGGTCTCTGGGGATGTTTGAACAATCTGTAGCATGTGCTGTGTTTTAACAAGGACATACAATTACAGGAGGGTATATGAAGTGTTCAAGGAGGACTAACACCTCTGGGGTGAGGACTTGCTGAGCCCTTTTGAGGGCTGCTCATCTACCTTTGGTGTCCTCCTTCACCCAACTCTCACCTGTGCCTCCAAGAAGCTGGAGCATGCCCAGTGGCCACACCCTGGAAAAATCTCTCGACAGATGGGCTAAACCAGGTTGAGGGTAACCAACAGGCCTCAAACCCATCATTGGCAAGTTAGGGGGATGTCTACCCCAAGCATGTGAAGACTTTTCCCTGGTGGAATGGATGGATGAGAACGATTTGTTCCCAAAAGGTAGCTGAGGCAGGCACTGTGGAGTACTTAGAGCTTGGTCAGACATCAGAGATGCTAAGGTCATCCACTGCATCCCAGGACATTGCCAGCCAGCTGACAACTTTGTGCAGTTCTGCCTCTTTTAAATTCAATTCACGTGCAAGTCAAGACATCACATGTGATGTCATTAGTCCTCTGAAAATTAAGGAGAAACAACAATAAACAGGACTGTGGAGAAGGAGGTATGAACGAAACAATTGAGGGATTGGAGATAATATTCCCTTCACATGAATGAATTAATGAATCAAGCATTTATTAAACACTTAGATTGTGCTCAGCCCTGGACGTACAAATGGAAGAGTAAGGGAGTCCCTGATCTCAAGGAGCTCACATTGAAACAGAGAAGACAACACATATGGGTAGTTTTGACTGAAAGTCAGATGGAAAAGTCCAATGGTCCTTAGGGTGCAGCAGCAGAACAGATAGTCAAACCTCTTCTTTAGTGTCATCTCCAATCATAAATTCTTATCAGTTTCCTGTGTTGAACCATTTGACATTGGGCTGGAAGCACTGCTATTCCAAATACCCTTAGGTTCAGGTTCCTGGGATATTTCTCAGGGTCTGAGGAGAGATGGTAGTCAGATGGTGGTAGGGGTTTAGCCTCCCCAGAGCATGCTGCCTCCTGTCTCTTCTTTAGCATCCCTTGTTGCTTCAGCTAGACTGGCTTGCCTGCCCTGTGAGTTGAAATTGATTGTCAGTTGGCGTGGATAGTTGGCCCCTTGTCCACAAGAATTACCTCGATGGAAGAAGAACTGGTGGTGTGAGGGTGCAGTCACCCTGAGAGTTCCTGAACTTATCTATCTGTTATTATCAGTTGGCCAGCAGCTATTGCTAATGATGATGAGGGCGATTGGCTCCAGCTTCACAGTGACTTCTCCGCTCAATGATGGCTACGGGCGCTGAGTTAGAAGTAGGTCTGTTGGCCTTGCTATTCCCATGGCTCTTGGGCCCAGGATCCTAGACTTTCTCTATCAAGATCTGAGGGGAAATTGTAGACAAGTTGCTAGTGGTGATTTGATTCCCCAGAACATACTAGTTCCTGTCTGTTCCTCAGAATGCCTTGCAGCTTCAGCTATAAGTACTGTTAAATAAGATAAAGCATCCCATTCCTTTTATTCCTTTATCTAGCTATTTATTAAATGCTTACTAGATGGAAAGCAGTGTGCTAAGCCTGTGTAGGAGGGGGAAATACAGTGATGAATGAAAACCAATCCTGACCCATAAGGTATTTATAGGGCAGGTAGGGGGGACTAGACATGTATGCAAACAAATAAATATAGTACTTGTCAGAACTTAGAATATTTAGGGAAGAATGCCCATCTGAGTTACAGAACACTTTATAATATATGAGTCATCATTATTTACAACTAGCAAAACTACTAGCTATTGCCAAGCAGGACTCTTGATAGACCTGCTTTAATAATTAGCCAAGTATCACTAATGTGCATTAATTGTTTATATATAAATGAGTGAATCTAAAGTGAGTCTAAGTCTAAATTCTAAATCTTTAGATTTAGATTCTAAATCTAAAGATTCTTAAAGCCAATCAGACCAGTTTACTTTCCTAAGATGACACAACTCCTTTTGTCATTCTTTTTCTCTTCACAGCACCAAGTTGCCTTTAGCCATATCTTTGTTTTTAATCACAATTCTAAATTAGATGGATTAAAATGGTTGGGATTTTGTTGTGAAGACTGAGTTTAGTCTAAGGGAGGAATTTCATGGTGGGGAGGGGCCTGGATTCTAGGATATGTGTAATAGAGATGTTCCTGCCCCCCCCTCCCCATATAAAATAAATCTGGTAGGTCCTGTTCTAATTGGTGATAGTCCTGATCACTGGCCTGGCTGAACTGCCCATATAATGTGTGGATCAGTAGTCTAATGTGTGGCACTGTGTAAGCATTCTAAAGTGTATTGCTTCAACTTTAAAAGGTACAAACTTTTTTTTTTAAAGGAAGAACTCTCACCTCACCAGACTGTTCCTTTCTTCCTAATACTGGAGATTGAAATAGTGGTGCCTGGGGGAGAGGGGGAGTTGTAGAGAAGGTGGCCAGATGGGGAGAGAGCTTTTATTCTTGCTTTGGATCAGGCTGTTTTCTCTACAGTGAGTTCCCTGGAACTTTAGAATCCAGCAATATTGAAAAGTACTTAGATATGTCAACAGTGAATTTTCATTCCACTCAGGGCACAGGACTGCAGACACAGTCATGTGGGCATCCAGCAGTGATGTTTTGAAATCTGGGAGTTGGGTGTTGGGCAGGAGTGAACTGCCCCCTCCTTCAGCTTTCCTTTGGTGTCATGCTGATCCCCAGCTGCTTCAAAGGGCTACATTTATGAGGTGCTTAAACAATGAGTGTTCCCCCTTTTATGGCTTATGGAAGGGAAAGATTTATAGCTTTGACAAGAGCACAGCGAGAGCTCAATGGACTTCTATTCCTTATTTAGTCATTTACATCATGGGGATCAGAGGTCCAGGAAGCCATGTTTACTCAGAGCCTGATTACTTCCTATAAGGTTATACTATGAGGCTAGAATATTTCAGGAAAGCTCAGATCACTCTGGCCCCTTTGGTAGAATGTAGGATCATAGATTTATTGCTGGAAGGGAATTTGGGGGTCATCTTGTCCAATCCTATCACATTACTCAGGAAATGGAGGACAGAGAGCAGTGACTTGCCTAAGGTCACATAGAAAGTAAGAAGCCAAGTGAAGATCTCAGTCCCATCCCTTAGACTGCAAATCTAGAGACTTTCCTTTTTTTATTCTACTAACAGGTATTTGCCTCCCAATAGGAAGATGTCCTGGGAGATTAGCAGTGGTATGTTGAACTCATAGGGACCTATGAGTCTTATAGTGTCCCTATGGTCAGGGAAGCTATGGGTCTTCTTAATTTCTCTTTCCCCTGAATTAATACTTTGTTTTCCTCCCTTGCCTTCTCAGAATATAGTGTGTACTGGGAGACTAAGGTGGCATCCAGATCCCAGCCTAGTTCATTGCATCCAATCATGTGAGGTAAGCTCGTTTATTCTTCTCCCTAGGTCCTGACCTAAAGTAAGGGTGAGTATTTGCACCATACTTCTTTGGTCCATTAGAGGAACATCCTTTCATTCACTTCTTTCTCACAACTCTGAACCTTTTGAAACCTGCACAAATTAGGTGATGGGTCCTCTGAAGTTGCAATTTCTTTGAGTGAAATCTCTAGAATTTGAATTTGGTTAAGGGCTTTAGGAGTACCTGAAGGTATCTGTGGCCGTATCTTCACTTGTAAATGTAATCAAGTCTTGACCCAGTGAAGGAATAGTTATAGATAATAATAACAACTAACATTTATATAGTGTTTTAAGCTTAGTAAAGCCCTTTATATACATGATCTCATTTGAACAAAAAAGAACTTTTCCATAAGCATTTTTTAAAATCTGAAAATAGACTTGATGATTTAGAGGCTAGAGCTGGAATCATACAGAAGGGTCAGAGGGTGGATAATTAAGAGCTGGAAACGAATTTAGATGTCACTGAGTCTAAACCCCTTATTTTATAGACAAGGAACTGAGGACCAGAGAAGTTTAGTGATATTCTCAAGGTCATTACAGGTAATGACTTCTAACTCCAAAGTCTGGAGTTAGAACTTAGACTGGTTCAACTTAGACTGGTCCACTGTTGCTTCAAGAGACATTCTGTTCAAGCCCATGTTCTCTAGTTGACATTCTAGGTCAGCAGGGTCAATAGAGGGTCAGTAATTTAGGGAATCAGAGGGGTTGGAGTGGATACAAAGAAAAATATAGACATAGTGGCTCTGGGGGAAAAAAAGAGTATGAGGCTTCAGAGGGAGCCTCTCTCAGGAGGGGGTGATCAAAGAGAGTTGACGTGTGAGGGAAGTGGGGGAGAGTTCCACTCTACTTGAAACCTTACCACTCTGGAACTGGACAGTGACAAATACTTACTTATTCCATCCTCAACCACAACAGGTTTGTCTTCCAAAGCTCTCACTGGGAATAATTAAGCTACTTAGCAGTAACACTTGGGTAATCCTGGCTCATCCTTGTTCACTGGAGCCTGAGCAGTTGGACTGCCATGTCTTCCAGCACCCCCACTCCCAAATCCCCACAGTGCCAAATACACACACACACACACACACACACACACACACACAAATCCCCCTATTCATTTGTTTCTCTCTTTCACTTGATCCAATTTTTCGATGAAATTGTGATGCACATGAGTCCAAAGAAAGAGGGTGAGGTTAAGGGGTAGGGGGATAGAAAGTAATGGAGGGAGGGTGAAGAGGGAGGGGTAAGGGAAGACACCAATTTTTTTAAACATGCTGAGAGGAGTAAATGAGGAATACAAGTTAGTTAGCATGGAGGGTGCTTTGTTATATGATGAAGGCCAACAAAACAGCTCATCTGATGCCATCATTAGGAAAACAGATGGCAGTGCGGTGGGGAGGAGGGAATGAAAGAGTGAATCATCTCCAGGGCAGGGGGTAGGGAGGGAAGGGAGGAGAAAGGCTTTGGGGGTAGGGGACCAAGGAGGGAGGGAGATAAACACTTGTGAGCTGGGAAGAGATCAAAGAGAGGCTGAGCATTCCCTTCTGTTACTCCTTCTGCATTAGGATAGAGAGAGGGAAGCCAGATGATGGAATTAGAATCTGAGTTTGGGGCTTTTGCTGTTTCCCAGACTGTAAGACTATGAGGCTTTTTTAATTGTTGTTGTTCTGTCCTCCTCCTCCTCGGACCCCTCAGTACCCATAAGATCAGCAGCCAGAGACACAAAGGTCACACTGTCCCTCTGATGAAATGGATTCAGAGGGCTGAGCAGCACAGAGTTTCCCACCTGCCCTGTGGAACTGCTGACATTACACTTAGAGTTGAGAATTGACCATTCCCCTACCTCATTACTCAGGCAGACAAGAAGCTTCTTGGCCAGTGCATCCCTAACCGCAGCTCCTCCCTGCCTGGGAACAAGTCCAGCCAGTTTTCTTGACAGTAAGATTATTCTAAAGTGTTGTCTGGGGCCCTCTGGGTAGGGCAGGTTTTGAAGAACCAGATATTGGCTCCTGACTCAAAAGTTAGAAGGAGAAGTACACACAGAAGGAGGGGAGGAAGAAGGAAAGGGCATCAGGGCACATGGGGATCAAAAAGAAAATGGAGAGAGAAGGAAATATAGGTGTAAGGGACAAGAAAAAAAAGATACCGACAAGAGTGGGGTGAAAGAGGATGAGAAGCAGGGAAAGGAAGAGTGAAACATTTGGAAGAAAATTTTTATTTTCAATCAAAAGTAATCTAAAAATACTAGGAAGGACTGAATAATATCAAAGTCAGACTGAAGGAAAACAGATACAGAGGCAAGCAAGGTGAAGAGAAGAAAGTGCAGGAGGAAGCCAAGACAAAATGTTGTGCAGGATGCCCTAGTTAGATATTTTTTTGCATGCTGCCTTCTATGAGTGACTTATTTTCCTTCCCTTCCCTTCCCTTCCCTTCCCTTTCTCTTTCCCTTTCTCTTTCCCTTTCTCTTTCCCTTTCTCCTTTTATTTCTTCTTTCCTTCCTTCTTCCTTCCATCTTTCTCCCTCTTTCTTTCTTTCCTTCTTTCCTTCCTCTTTCTTTCTTCTTCTTTCTTGTAAATATTGGATGTAAATTCCTTCCTTTTTTCTTTCTTCTTTTTTCCTTCTTTCCTTCTCTCCCTCTCTCCTTCCCTTTCTCCTTTCTCTTCCTCTTTCCCTGTCTCCATATTCTTCCACCCTCCCTCTTCTTTCTCTTTCTTTCTGTCTTTTTTTCTGTCTTTCTGTCTTTCTATCTATCTGTCTTTCTTTCTTTTTCTTTATTTCCTTTTCTTTCTCATAAATATTGGATGTAAATTGAAAGCTGGTCCCTTTGAAGCAGTTATTTCAACCTTACAGCAGCAGGGAACCTTATCCTTTGTTATTTTTCAGCATGGCCCCTGCATTCCAAACTAGTCAGTCACCTTATTGCCCTCAACCCACTTCTTACTTAATGTCAATCCTGTACTTTGGCTCAGGACATTTCCTTTCCACCTAGAATGCCTTCCTCTGTCCAGTCTGCCAACCCATACCCAAGACTTCCTTCAGGAGCCAATTCAGAACTCACTTCTCCCAGAAAACATTCTGTGCCTAATTCTATCTCTTTGTGATATAGAGGGAGAAGCCCTGAATTTGGTGTCAGGTGAGCTGGGCTTGAACCCTGGCTCTACTATTTAGTACAGGTGTAACCTGGAGCTACTCTCATCACTTCTTTGGTCTTAGTTTCCTCATCTGTAAACTGAGGGGGCAGGACTCCATTTACCTCAAAGGCCCCTTCCAACTCTAAATTGGTAATCCTTTAAGATTCCCGTGCCTTCATCTCCATGCCTTGGCCCTGATTGTCCTTCATGCCTGGAATGCTTTTCCCCTCACCTATGTCTCTTGAAACCTCTGTCTGACCTCTTTCAAAGTCAGCTCAAATTCTCCCTTCCGTAGGAGGTCTTTCCCAGTAAACTCATTCACTTGAGTCTTCTCCTCTAATATCCCTTCCATTCTGAATGTAGCTTGTGTGTAGCTATTTATATAAACGTTGTCTCCCTCATTAGTATATAAACTCCTTGAAGGCAGGGACTATTTTTTTTTGCCTTTCTTAGTATCCCCAGTGCTTGGCACAGTACCTGGCACACTGTAGGCCTTCAATAAATGCTTGTTGATTGGTTGATTTTTATACAGTTATCCATTATGTAATAGTCTCATTTCTGTTGTTTTTTGTAATTGTTCTCTAGTTCTCAGGATGATAGGTTGAGAGCTGCAATGAACCTTAGAGGGAACATGCAAGTCAACTCCCTTAGAAGTGTATGTTTACCTTCCATACTTTACTGTAGACTCCTTGAGGTCAGGGATCATGTCATCTGCATCTCTTATTTGTATCAAAGCTTCTTAAAAATGGTAGGTATAGAATAGATATTCAATTAATGCAGCAGTGAGTTAGTCTAAGATGCCAGTCTGAAGAAATGACTCCTTCTTCCCTCCCCTCAAAGGCCAACCTTCCTCAACTGATTGTTTATCTTTGTCTGTGGGGGAAAATGATAGAGTCATAGAAAAAGAGGAAGAAGAAAGAGGAAGAAGAGAAGGAGGAAGAGGAAGAAGAGGAGAAAGAGGAGGAGGAGGAGGAGAAGAAGAAGAAGAAGGAGAAGAAGAAGGAGGAGGATGAGGAGGAGAAGGAGGAGGAGAAACAAAGGTTGCTTCTGTAATTTCATGGAGATATGCATAACTCACCAGCCATTGGTAGAAAGATGGGATAAATCATTTGCAAAAATTTAGATGCATTTGCACCCAGAACCAGAACTAAAGGTAGGCAAGTTAAATAGCCACCTAGAGCTCACATTTATGTAACACTCAGAGGTTTTGATAGGTAGATGGAGAGAGACAGAGCACCTTTATTCAGTAATTTCTGTGTGCCAGGCACTGGAAATACAAATAGAAGCAAAAAGAAAAACATAGAGCTTATTTTTAATGGAGGAAGAATATACATAAAAGGAAGTTGAACAGCAAAAAGTACTCATTGGAGGAGGGCAAGATGTCAAAGTACAGAGAATGTACAGTAGATCCAGCAAAGTAATGAGCATTTGTACTTCATCTGGGTACTTCATCTAAGAAGTTCTGGGAAGCAACTCACTAATAAGAAGAGGGGGCCTCAGCCCCTAAGAAGCCTCATAGGGAACAGATAGTAAAGTCCAGATAATCAAAAGCAAAACAGGGAGAGGTTTTCCAAAAGTGTTCCTATTATTATCCCATTTTACAGTTGGGAAAACTGAAACACAGAAAAATTAAGTGATCTACCAGTTGTCACACACCAAGTGAGTCTGTTCGTGTATGGCCTTGGACCCAACCTCATTTTTCCTTCCTAAGTTTAGTATTTTTTCATCTGTGCCAGATTGGTTCCATTTCAGGAGGGCAGAGGAGGGGAAAGGAAAGGGAAGAGCAACTAAAGATGCTTTTTCATCTTAGTTTTTCTAAATTCAAATTTTGAAT